CGCCGGGTTCATCCTTCTCCAACGCTTCGACTGAATTCCGCCCAGCTGGAATAAGTATCAAGCGTGTAACGAATATTGGAATCAGCGTTCTGCAGCAGGCGAGCTATCTTTTGAAAATCTGGAGAATTCTCCATCGTCAAACTCGTGGCGGGAAAATTAGTCGAGCAGCGAACTATTCCCCTCCTTAGCCCCGGCGTCTGCTCGATCAGGAAGGACCCGCGGGGATGGCGGGGGAGCCATAAACTTGATGAACACCCAAATATAAGATGAATTAACCCGAACTAGGATTCAAGCGAGTTTTAGTTCGGGACTCAAGTCCAGATAGTTACTGGGAGTCATTCATCGGAAACGATGGGCAGCCGGGACTCTCTTCGTGATTTCGTATGAAGAGCGATGAGGGGAATGCTCGGGAAACTCGAAACAGCGCCACCGCTGAGTGGGGGCATTATGCTGAGCGCCATTCCGGTCCCCCCGACAAGAAGCGAGCGAACGGCGATCCCAATGAGTCAGCGACAGAAGCATCGGCTGACGGTGGCTGCCGAGCAGAGTCTCGTCCTGGTCTTCAAAAAGTCTCCAAGAGTCTTAGTTGCTAACTCGGCACTTAGCTCTCAAGCTCCGCTCATACATTCCTGCAGCATCGACAGAAGCAGCAAAGTTCTTCTACAGTTGTCATCAAAGTGACGCCCTGTTCACAGCACATCGACAGGAAAAAACGAACGATATTTTTTTATAGGAGCGTTTCTCTCCTCGAACAACGTCAAATGCATCAGTATCTCCGCTACAGCAGCTAATGTGTTGTCTTAACTGAGCTACGGCAAATCTTTGCCACTCTGAGCTCATCCTAGGGAGTGGCGTTTGGTCGGCTCTCAAACGTGATCGGACGGAGAAATCGAGGAAAATCGAGAGGTCACCGATCCACCACTTGGTCTTCGATGGCTGTAGGCTGCATAAGGAGCAATCGCGTCCGACAAATAATATAAGCTCCTAATGTCCCGATGCCGAACCTCGAATAAATGCCATCAAGCCCTGCTTTGAGCGAAGGAGCGGGCGATGGAGTGGCGGCCCACGAGTGAGGAGAAGCGAGACGAGCTTCGCAGGTATGAGTCTCAAAGACCAATAGGAGCGCGTTTCCCAGCGCTCGCTCGTTTACCTGGCAGCCAGCTTGTGACTGATTATGTGGCGTTCCATACGAATCTGCTCCCCTATGTGTTTCCTCCCGAGAAGCGGAGACGCCAAAGAAATACAGCAACCTACCCACGAGAGGAAGGTCCCGCACGTCGGGTGAAGGGAAATGCCTCGTTACTTTGACGTCGCGGAAACACGAACAGCCAAAGAATCCTGCATTAAATAGAATGGAACATACCGAGCAGAGCTGGCGGACGGAAATTACCCGTCAAACCCGGCGGTGGTCTCAGCGTCATCCTATCTGTCGGTGTCTAGGCAAGTTGTTCGCAGAGATGGGTTCGGGTGCCCCTTCGACTTGGTCTCACGGGGCTGAATTACTGACTGAGACTGGGCTCTATTATCTCCGTAGAGGCTGATTATTATGTATCGTATTGCGCAGCGTCGGCCTCATGGCCAGAGCCGGCCGATTTGAGAATTTTCCCAGGTTCTCTCACCAATGATCAACCACAAGGGGGAATGAGGTTCTAGCCTGTGGTGCGATCGTTCCATTCTGCGGGGGGCCTGTGTCCTGAGTACAAAATCAGGAGTCGAGCCGATCTCGGATCTCCATCGATCATTATCCACGAAATTTCCGGTAAGGGACATGGTTTCCTCAGAGAGAATCCCTTGACGCAGGCTGTGGTATATCGGGCAGGGAACTTCGCGCGTTTCTTTTCCGAGACAGCTCCCGGAAGTCGCTTTTGTCCAAGAGGAGGCTTCGCTCATGGTTCAGCATACCGCTTCCATTGGACCTATGACACTGTCTCCAATCGCAAACTCAGCCTACGTTCCCTCCCGCGAACGGCCGTGTCGATATCGTCCGCGTGGAGCGGCACGGAACGTCCTTACCGCAGCGGCCACTCGCTCATCAGACAGCACGTGGGCAGCTGACAGGAGGAGTTATTCGAGCTTCCGCTGCTCATCGTCCGCGATGATCGGCACGAAGTTCAATTCCAGGCCCAGGAATCGTCGATCCTAGCCGGGCAGACAACCCGTGAAAATATTTCGCACCGATATGGCGCTTCTAGCCTCGATCAGCTCGGTTCGCCTCTTATGATTCAAATCTTCCATTTCTCATGCCCTCGTTACGAAGCCAGAACTGATCGGTATTTCTCCCTCGACATTCGCAAGGGCATCGTTTCTCAGCGCTAGAGCGGGGGCTCCAAGTCTGTCTTTCTTTTCGGAGATACCTAGAAATCCTTCCAGCAGAGTGTTCATAGCTTGCATCCGCGTATCGATCCACTCGGGCAGCAAGGAGGCATGATGATTCCTTCAATTTGGATATGCTTCCGCATGTCGTAGGGAGCCGAACGATTTTTTTGTTTGCTGTAGTTTTTGCTTCGCTATCCTCCTCCCTCTGCCCTCATTGCCTTCCTGACGATGAGAGAGATCGGGGCGAACAGACGCAGCCGAACACAATTCTTTTAAGTGGTCGTAGCTCTATGGCTTACCGGAGACGGGCAGGCTGTCCCGATATTCTGAGCTCCAGTCACTCAAACGGAGGGACAGACGCGGCTAGCGAAAGGGAGAAACGGGACCTCGACGAGCGGAGTTTGGACGGGAAGAAACTCTACAGTAAAACCGCATCAAGACAGCATCTTGCTCTTCGTCCCGATGACAGCGATTTCGACGACTTTCCCGCCGACGTCGGCAACATTATTTTAGATACACAATTTGGCTTTTAGATGCTCCGCCTCGCTCCTGATCCTGCAATCCTCCTGCCGGTCGGAACCCTGTCTCCTGCCAGCTCGCCTTCCCGCCCGTCCACCAGCCCGCCCGCCCGCCGCTACTCCTCGATGGCGTCCTCCTGTCGTCGCCGTCCTGTCCTCGGCTGAAGCAGCAGCTCCGGTCCCGTCGGATCTTGCCGATGATAAATGACATGACGGTAATTAAAGTCGTTGGAGAAGAACAAGCCTCCTCCTGATTTCGCTCATCGTCCTTTTCCTTCTACATCTCCTGACTTCGAGGAGCGGGGCGGCCGGCCAGCCAGCCAGCCAGTTAGCCTGACGTCGATGGTGGCTCTGCCATCACACTGCTTCCGCCGCCATCGTCGCGACTCCCTCCATTGCCGCCATAACCGCTGTCTGCAGATCTGAGCTCCTCGTCTTAGTCCTCTCCTCCCTTGAATGGAACGAGGACGGGGCAGAACAATAATAATCAACATTATCCATCCATCCGCCGTCCATCTTTGAGGGCGACGCATCACCGTTGCCGCCATGACCAACAACAACGACGACAACAACAATTTATTAATCCATCATAGCGGCGACATTCTGACGACGTCGAGGTATCCCTCGTCGGCTCGCTTCATCCCGACTTACCCTCGGCGGCATCCTTTCTCGGTTCGTCGGTCGGTGGCCGGCCGCCATTTCTTTCCCCCTTCTCTCACTTCTGCTCTCGGCCGACTTTCTCTCCGGAGCTCAGCCCGGGCGACAGCTCCTCATCATATGGGGAAGGAGTCCTTTGTCGATGGCTGCCAGGCCGCTACTCTAGCGGAAAGCTTTCACGAATGGTTTTCCGATTTTTGAAACGGGTAGGGCGAGTCGTCCGCCGATTTGTCGCTCCCCACTCGCCGCCGACGCCGCCACGGCCGCTCCAGACCAACGACCGTGCGGAGGATCAATGCGAGCTATCGCACAAATGACCTTTTTCTCCACAAAAACTACTCCGGATTTGGTCGACTCGATTCTCTCTAGGTACGCAGCTTCCGTCTTCTGTATCTGGCACAGATAACGATACCATCATGTCACTTCGCTGCCCTAGGTGTCAAATTCGATCCGCTAGCAAAGAAATAGAGCCCGGAGTGCGGACAACTCTCGCCGATAGAGGAGCTCGGGTCCAGGTTGACGTGATTACGACCGAATGTTAAATTGGATGCCAATGCGTCGTCGAACGACTTGTACTCGGGCTGATGTGGACAGATGTAGATGAGGCTCGGCCGTGGCGAATCGGCGCCGATCGATGCAGATTCTACGATGTAGCCGCTGCTGCTGCTGCGAGCTAGTGGAGGATGATTCGTCAGGCTTGCTCGCTCGTCTGCCTCAGGGAAGCTGAGCTTGCGAAGATATACAAATCACATCGGAGCGTAGCGACAGCCTGATTATACAATCACTGTATTTGCTCCATGAGCTTCGATAGCATTCGGACTGACACGCCGAGATAAGAGAACTGCTCTGTTCCTCGCGGTATTCTTTCACGGGCCTGGCAGAATCCTGCGTCAGCGACACTGTATATTTGTATAGAGATCCGTATTGGAATCACGCAAGGCAATCGATACGATTGGTCAATGCCTTTTTGATGATTGCATTGACTTTCGGTGTTCATAGTGGGATCTTGTCAACTGGGACTTAGAGCTTGAGGACTCTAAGGGAATCCGGTGAGAGCTACCCTGAGGGACTCGGAGCAGCCTTCGCCAGACCTGGCGTCGATCGGGTCTTCTGACGAATTTTTCGAGTGCGATTAATGGCTCGAGCGGCTCCGAGCGTCCAGTCCCTGCGTAAGCTCCCGAGCAAATATGAATCGAGAAAATACGGCATTTAAAAATACGGCTGACGCCACTTTGCGATTTCGGTCCTTATCCGGCGAACTAACGACGTTTAGAGCTGATTGAGCCGACGCGGAAGACCTGGGGATTTTTATCTGAATCGATTCCGGTGCTCGATCAACGTCCTGGATGAGACTTTGTGTTTTTTTCCCTTTATCACGGCACGATGAATTCGTTAGGGCGAGAGCCTGATGAGCTTTTTATGACGGAGAATCTATCGGTCACTTAATCGTTGAGCATTCTAACGAGAATATAAAGCTCGGGAAGCCCACCGGGCTCTTCAATTTTCGAGATGGCTTGGCCTATAGACACGGGCAGGAGTCCCTTCTCGAATACTACACTAGTGGGAGTCTGCCAAGAGGTGAGGAAGAAGGGAATAAGGTTGCGAGCGGGTAGGCAACCGTTCGATTACGCCATCTCGAATCAAAAGTTTTCGTTGACTTGCGGATGCGCCGGAATTCTTCCAGTTCGTCCCTCATACCATAATGCAAAGCCTTCCCGATGGACGCATAGAAGCGTACGGGAGAATCACTTCAATCATCACCAACGCTACGTGGGCCATGGGCATACAGCTCCGCATAATCGAAACATCCGACGGGAACTATGGCTCCGCCACTCCTGATGGCCGCCTTTTCGGAGCTCTCCTGGATCTTAAAGAAGGGGTGAGTTTATTGGGGTTCGATTTTCGATGCTGCTCAACTTGAATTCTTATTCGACCGATCGTGATTGGGTTTTCATAAATTACAGAGAGCCGATCTGTCTGTGGCAACGATGCCGCGTCAATCCTTATACGACGAATTCTTCGAGAAATCGATTGACTTTGAAGCGTTACGACTCATAATGACTTCTGGAACGAGACAAGTCCTCAAGAAATCCTCCACGTCTGTCATCAGCGAAGAGCTCTTGACTGAGGTATGAAGGTCGCCATTGGATGATCACCCGATTTTTCCTTCGTTCAGACATGAGGTTGGCGCCTCCCGCTTGCAGATTTTCCCCCTGTTGGCGATGTTCGCGTTTGTGAGCATCGCTTTGAGCTCACTTTTCAACTCCATGATCAACGGAGGCTCGCCCGCATCCTACGTGGATCTGTTCTTCATGTTTTACTATCCGAGTTTCTTTTGCGAAACGAGCCACGCACAGACATCGACCAACCACCGGATAACTTTCTCCGCGAAAATTCTCTTCGGGTTCTGGCTTTTGGGTCCGTTCGATCATTCTATCAGATGAGTTTCCTGTTTCATTTCCCAATATACGAATCCAGCATACCGTTTGATCTTGCCACCGCTTGAATATACTCGTGGACTCCATTCACGCTGCGGTCACGGTTTCTCCAGGCATGTTCGTGATCACCGTCTTCATCCAGAGCACTCTGAAGTCTAGTTTCGTCATCCTGGTAGAAACCGAAAGGATCCGAAACAACAGAGACGTACTCGATCGTCCGGAGTTGCTACCGATGATGCATAACGACATGCGATATTTCCTAACGGTGCGGAGCGACCCATACGATTTGTTCTTTTAAGTTATTCGGAAATTTCGTAGGCCTAGCCAGGGACCTAAAGTCGAGATCAGATTCACGCATCGAGTTTCCAGACCTCGGTCAGATTCTCATTGTCTTTCCCCCCTCCCAGATCATGAGCGTTGAGTTCGCTGATGAGATTCTCGCCCAATGGGAGCGACTCAAACCTGAGAGTTCGGTCCCTCTGAAAGAGTGAGTTCCGTCCCTCTTCTCGCAGGCTCTCCCGATCGGTGCGGTGTTTCGAATCCTGTTTTCGGAATGAGAATAATTGAAGCATTGATTGACCACAGATACTATTCACTCGAGACGATTGAAAAGATGACGACTCGGCGTGGAGTTCTCTACTCCGACGAATTCGGCGCCCTCTACGAGTTGCCAAAACTATGCCCGAAGATAAAGGGTTCTTACCTCTATCAATCATCTGGTCTGGCGGAAATCCACAACAGCCTGTACTTCAGACCTGGGATCAATTCGACATTAGTTCGAGAGATTAATAAGAGGTGAGTTTGCGGGATAGGAAGTATTAGGGAACCCCGAAATCTCTGCTCTGACTGAATTCGTTTCTCAGATGCCGCTGGCTACAAGAGGCTGATATCCCCTGGCTCCCGCGTTTCCTCTTGGATCCATCGAATTCGCCGTGTTTCGTGCAGCCTCTCGTCGGAGCATCGTTGAGCGCAGGCGAGGCAACAGACCTGTCGGCAGAAGACCTCTTTGGAATCTGGATTGTCCTGAGTGTGGGCGCGCTAATTTCTGTATTCGTCTCGATTGTGGAAATCACGCTACCGGCAATGCATCTCCAGAGCAAAAAACTCATCCTAAATCGCATAGGATCCGGGCGCATCTCGGAAGATAGAAGGAGGACACTATGTGGTCCAGCAATCAGAGCGTTTCGACAGAAATTATCTTTCAGACAGGAAGCTTGCATAGAGACTGGAATCGATCGAGACTTCCACCTCTCCGGAACAAAAGCAAAGAAAAAATGCGATAGTGTAGGAGCTTACTAAGAAGCACAGACCCGAGTTCTTGGTGTTCAGTCTCCCGACGCAGGTGCGGATTCTCCAGATGGCCTCGCTGAGCGTAATATACAATTCAGCCACACTCCTGGCTGGTTTCAACCCGAATTTGCTTTCTGATGAATTTCCCGGCTCACGCAGGAGGTCCCGTACGAGTCAACCGAGCTGAGCCCTCTAGATTTCGGTCCCTCCCCTGAGTTATCTCGCATCCATCAGCATGATCCTGAACTCTGAATCGGACTCGAGGAGGAGCTCTCACACAGGGGGCTCTTCCTGTTCGAACCAGTCGCTTTGCAAACCGGTGATGACATCGCTTCAGGATATCAAGTCACACCAGATTCGCAAAACTCCGCACTTGAAATCGTTCCTCAACCTCTAGGCACAGTTTGAGGTAGAGAATAGTTCACCGGAATCTCAATTTCGGTTCCTGGCCGTACAAGTGTCGACAGGCCTCAGAACTCGCAGCTACGTGAAGTGAATGCTCACCGGCTGACGAATGAGGAGGGATACGAGCACCGATGGGAGGTCGGTCACTTCTTCCCGTTTCCATGCACGGGGAAAGCGGAATCAGTGGAGGAAAATTATCGATCCCATTGCACAAGAGAGCCACAGCTACCCCGTAGGACCAACCGCCGCATCGATAGATTCTAGACAACCGAATCGATCAATGAGTGAAGTACTACTCCATAGCACTTCATCCCACCGTGCAAGCTCCCAGAGAACGTGATCTACGGCGATTGGAAAAATGCCTGCGGAAGCACTCATGCATACATGTACGGATCGATCAGGGAGGAACCCCAAAATCAAAGGGGGAGTCAAGAAAGTCTTTTCCAATTCCGATTTCCTCTTGAATTCAAGATCGGTCATACGGAAGCTTCGAGACTACGAATCTGGAACGAATTCCTCTTCCAACCGAGTCTCTAAGGAGCGTGTTTTCGACTCGACTTCCTCTTGTGATATCTGCTCTTTCGGTTTTCCTACCTCGGACGCTTATCAGTGATTAGAGACGCAGTTTCCCCGTGAAACTCTTCGAAGACTCTCGGTGGACGTCCAGCTTCAGCGGGGAATCATTTGTGAACACGAGCCGAAGATTGGGAGTGCCAAGAGCAAACGTGGACAATCTTTCGTCCAATTCTCGTTCTTCGATAGGTTGTCAGTTGTCACCCTCTGTGGCTCGGTGATGGCGGACTGGAGCTGGGATTCATCGACGCACCGCGAGCGGCCCTCGATCTCGACCTTGGTAGCCCGCAGCCTATCGAAGACACTCGGAGTGTAAATTCTCGGATTGTGTGCTGTGTTGCACGTTGGCCGAGACTCCGCTTCGGGAGGGCGGCTGTTGTCAAAGCGCGTGACAAACGACTATGAGGGTAATCTTGTAGCCCGGCGACGTCTTGGCGCTGCGCCCTTGCCACTTCAGCGACGGGCAAACAAATGTTGCGCGAATAAAAACCTGTCCTCGGACTCCAAGCCCGCCTAGCCTTCCATCCCCCAGTGCTTGCCAACGCGGTTGGTTTCGGTCGCAGCTCCCCGGGCGAGGAAGCTACGGCTCCGGGTATTCGACGGGGCCACGGTGGCGTCCCGGAGGCGGACCGGTGAGGTATCCGGCTGATGCTCGGTCGGGTACGAGCCTTTGTTTTTGTCATTGCACCTCGGTAGGACATATGTCTGATCGAGCCAGTCATTCATCACGTTGCACCGGGAAAACGACGCGGACTTCGGTGTGGGTCTCCTCCTCAAGATGGAGTAGTACAATGCCTATCGCAACAACGAAACAATGCTCGTCCCACCGCCATCACCACCAGCGTATCCACCGCATGGAGTGCGTCTTTGTTCGACAGCACATTCCGAACGACACGGTTCTTCCTGCAGTTTCTGCTCGGCCTGTCAACGGAGAGTTCGATCAAGGGTCCCAGTTGTCTTGTCGGCAATTGATATTTCCCCGGCGAGACCGTGCTGTTCCATTAGGATTCAGACATTTCTGAAGTCGGCTGCCCCGGGGGACTCGATTTACGAGCAGCACAATCTCACGATGCGGATCCATCAAGAATCAAGCAGCCGATGTTTGAAAACTGAGCCTGGATCGGATCACCTTATGCATCCCCATAATTTCATTGGCGCACGAAGCGCTGTATCGCCCACAATTCTTACATCTTCTTCCATATTGAACCCCTTCACGATTTTCCAGCTTCTCGAGACTCGAAGAAGTTCCGGAATCCCCCGAGAAGGGGAAAAATCTGACAGCGCTGTACGCAAGGATTGCCGTAGTAGTGCAGAGGGTCTCTCCCCGTCGCTTGGTTCAGGACTGAATCGCTGAAATCAGCCGAGCTATTCGTCTCCAGCCCAGGAGGGGGAAGCAGTTTTGTTGATCGTAATTCCAGACTTCAGTTCGGGAAGTTTCCAGTGCGACGAGTCCGGTACTCTTCATCCTCTACGGCGGTGGCGCCCCCTGGCAACGAATAACTTCGGCGGTCATCCCTTCGATTTAATTGAGAGGTGTGAGGCGGTGACATGAAGGAGTCGACTAGTCGTTCCCTTCTCCGCGGGCCCAGATATGCGACGAATAGCAGAAATTCGTCCACTCTTTCTGTGGAAGAGCTGTTTCTTCTGGTGGCCCACGGTGCGGCTGCTGCCCGCTGATATTGGCGGGTAAATACACGGCTAGCAGACAGCCAGGCGAGACGAGTTCCAGACGGAACGAGTGTTTGACAGGGATTCTCGGCGGAGATCCGTCTCGTATCGGGCCGAGGGCAGATCCAAGATACTTTGGGAATATTGGCTGATGATTCCGACGATTTTCGGTGGCAGGAAACTCCATGTGAGATCTTTCCGACAGCTTCTCAGAGTTGGGCAGACATCACCCATCGAGGAACCAAACTTAGTCAGTGATCCTTGATTGGATCTAGAAAACTCTACTGAGCGCTGCGAATGCCGTTGCCAGTTTCCGGAAGTTTTCCCGCTCGCTCATGACGAGACGACGGACGTTTGATGAGCTCAATCTGACTAATTCTCGAGCTCCAACGTCTGGCGACTTAGGGCGAAACGCGCGCTTGTAGAACTCGCCCCTCAGCTCTTGATCCCGCCGAATTTAGGGGGAACCTCGGTGGCCTGCGATGAGAAGGCTTGTGTGTGTTTTTTATTTATCGAATCCGGGCAGCTGTGCGATGAACATTTGAAGTCTTGCTGAGAGTGGCCGTCAACTCTCCGAACAGCATGTATTTAAGTTCGGCGGCTCAAGGTAGGTGTTCTGTACAGACCTCTGCCCCAGCTCAGCCGATGCATTCGTGACGTGACCGCCGTATTTGTGAGTTGAGAGTTCTATGCTCGAAAAATCAGTCAGGTGCAACTCGCAATCATGTTCGATGAGCATGCAGACTCCTCTCATGACAGCTGACGAAGCTCACCTAGGGGAACAGGAGCGTCTCCCGCCTCGACTCAGCAATGCACTTGGAGCTGCTGCAGAAGCCGCGATAACAGACACGTCCGTCAAATGTTCGAAAAGCTCGCTCAGTCATTCACTTGTTCCTCCCTAGAGCACAAGTCAGACGTAGGAGCCGCTCTAGGAATTTGCATATGGTAATGGTGTTTCCCGAGAACAACATGGAAAGCTTCGGCGGTCTGCTTGAGTCAGTTCGGTGCCAAAGCAGGGGCGAGATCCGGATCTCGGTCTGCGTTTTCCGAGCCGAAAGACAGAAGTCCCCCCCGAGTGCAAACTTCAAAGGAGAAGACGAAACTGCCCGATGAAACGCTTCGGAGAAGATTTCTTCAGCCATTCTACTGGAAACACGCAGGAACACTTGTACCGTTCCCCCTCGATGCCTCCTACCCCCACACTGAAAAGTATCCGTGAATTATTGATGATCGCGACTTCAGACGGGCTCGGGATTTCCACGTACGCAAGAGTCGGGCTCGCCTCGAGGTTCTAGCCGTGGCGCCGCCACCTTCCGCTTCGGTTCGTCTCCGTGGATGTTGAGTGCTCATTGTGAACGACAATGATTTATTCAAGGATACAACCACTCGTCAGTGGAGCTCATGCAATATTTATTAGGAATCTTTGACGAGCATTGTACGGCGCGGATCATTCTGAGCCGGAGCAACATTCGTCGTTAGAATCGTCACCTAATCATGAGTAAGCCAGACGGATGAGCTGCAGAGTCGATGAGACGGTTGTTGGTCCCGGGAGCCCGAAGTATCTGATCGGTTTCTCACGGTTTCCTGTACGGATCGGAAACTCTCGGGAGTTTTGCCCATACCTCGCTCTCTAGAAACTCGGGCAATGAGTCCGCACGACGTCCCGAGGGTCGAGGTACGTCTCCATGAGAGGGAGCCATCCACGTTTTTTTTGGCTTCAGACACTGAGGACCTGGTTTTCCGATCGGGGCGCATTCTACCGTGCCAGGAAGCCTCGCATTCTGTGTCCGCTAGCGGTGGTGCCGAGAGCGTGAGCTTCGTGTCGACTGAGGTGGCAAGCGACGGCAGTCATAACATGTCACTGATTTTATAAGGGCCCTCTTGGCATATGAGCCGGGAGAGCCACAGGCAATCGGGTGGTTACCCACTCGAGACGGGAAACGGAAATCTGCTGGAGGTACTCTCCGCGCTGAAGATAGCGATGGCAATGCACGTATCGACGGCGCCATGAATTCATTGTCCTGATGAGGAGAGCTGCCGACGACTGACACCGGCTTCCGTCATTTCATGTCGTCATGAGAATATCTCTTTTCGTTGCAGGAGATCGCAGCGGGTCTAGCGAGACCCTTAATCAATCCGAATCAAGTCTTGTGTCCGAACCAGAGCAGCACCACAAGGTGAGCGGGAAAACGGTGTAGATGAACGCGTGTGCGCGTGATTCACGCTTCCCCCGAGTCCCGTAGGGGTGCTCCACGCGTGATGGTTTGTTCCGTTCTCCGATGCTGAGCGTTAATTTTGGTTGATTTTATCCTTATTCATGCTCTTCGTTCAGGATGCTTTGTATTCCCGTCGTCAACCGATCAACCCAGAAAGCCTCACCCCATTGCTTGGTTAGTTCTCGGATTTTTCTTTTGTTCTCAGGATATACATATTTTCGGTTCCATGCCTACTCTAGCTTCTCCCGTCGATCGGTCGCAGCGATAGAATGCTCCGAGTTTTACGGAAACCGGCCAAGAACTCGCCAGAATTCGATCTGGGCCCCGTGGCCGACAGGAAAGAAACTGCGACTTATAAAGATATTCTAGGGGCCTCCTCGAGAGCAAGTTCTCTTATCTGTTCCATCGCGATTAGACTGATTTTCACTAGCCGTTCATGTCAACACGACTGAATGAGTTCCGGCGACGGTCGAAACCGAACTGAAGCGGTCACTAAGCGCTCATAGTTGCCGAAGCCCATTGGACTTCGCTACACATTTCCAGCTGCCAGCGAAGTCGACCTTGGAGGTGGACGGAAAAGTCGGTACGCTTCGGAGAGGAGATTCCGACTGAAACGAATTCCTGTCCGCAGTGTCGACTGGAACGGGAATTTCTCCAACGTCTCGTCCTCGTTCCACATAGTACTCAGTCATGCGTTTTCCCGCTTTGGGGAACACGTTCCTCCCCGACGATTTCCCCCGAGCCTCTCCTACCGTCCGCGCCCTGGGGATGTTGGGTGGTGGACTGCGAGGGCGGGACGAGTTTTGATTGAAGTCTAGATCGGGCATGCTCATGGCTTTCTGAGGACCGGAGTCCTTGTTTCCGCTATTTTTATTTTTCAAATTCATTTTCATTCCCCTTCTCTCACTCTCACATGACTCCCGGGTCGAACGGAGCCCTCGGGGAGCCTGAGCTCTCTGCGCGGAAGGGCTAGGAAATTTCCTCGATTACTTCCTAGATACCTAAGGTCGGTCTCCGCTTGTTTTACAGGGGGCCCAAGCAGTCAGTGGTCGTTGAGCAATTCTTTGCAACGGAGGTCGACTACCGAGTCCCTCCAAGATGTTCCCTGTGATTACTACCATCCACCGCCACCTCCCCCTCCTCCACATAAAGTGAGTCTGCACTCGTTCGATTACCACTCCGTTCGCTGATTCATTTGATATGCGGAACTGTTCCGCGACTCTGCCGCAGCCCGCAGCTCGATCGAGGAGGGCTCGCAGTCCCGCAGCGCTCTGTGTCGTCGGAGACGATTTCTCCCGGAGTCTTCTTTCCAGTGCTTATAATGACGACCATTCGGCGATCCATTAGCGAGACAATGCATAGGCTTTTCATGATCCTTCCCGGTCGTACCATGATTTGATTGTTTGGTGGCTTATTCCTGAAGCGTGAACCGCATCGCACCGATTATCGGCTGTCGTCTTCGTCGCGAGCGCGTGCTCTGTCGGTGGACGCGGGAAAAAAAATACGCGCCGCCGGGGCAGTGTGTGCGGAGCAGGAAGGGGATTCGCGGCCTTTGCTAAATCTCTCGACAGCGTACTCGCTCGCAAACTCGTTCGTTCGCTCCTCCGCCCGCTTGCTCGATAGGTCGCTTCTTCGAGTTGTACTGAATGACTTTTTGTCGAAACGTATCCCCTCTTGAAATCACGATGCTGCGGCGGTATCTCAGCAGGTACAGACGTGTCCGTCTAGTCAAGGCAAGTGGAATCTAACGCTCCGCCGGAATTCTCGCTTGTCGGTTCTGCTTATCGTCGGGTCAGGATCTCCACTCGGTCCGTCCGTCCATCGGTCGGCTTGACGGCCGGTTCTGGGGTCGGTCCGCTGAAGTGATTCTCGAGTGTACTGCCCGAGGCAGTTTGGAACGACGGGGAACTGGAGAAACAAGTCTGAAAAGCAACGAGTGTGCTAGGAACACCGCTGTCGTCGCAAGTTGGCCGAGGGGAGAGGCGTCATTCGGCTGCTACGAGGAGTGCGAACGCCCACTTTGAAGGCGAAGAGAGTCGCTTGGCCAGAGTGCGAGTTGCCGAGACGGGTCGTGCGGAGGACGAACTCGAATCGTTACTAGTGCGCAACGATTTGGGTGTTTCCCTCGCCGTTTCCTTATCTATTCCCTCTGGGGTGTCCTGAGATGGAACGTCGTCGTCCCGAAGAGAACTGGAGGCTCGTTCGTCCAAGTCCTCGTCCTGTTGTACGCTTCTCTGCGTGCCTAATTCGACGACAGGCGAAGCGCCACTTCTTCGGGAATTCCGGGGTCACCCACCTATGTGCCCTGCATTGGGAGAGAAAAAGATGTTTTAAAAAAAACGGATTGTCTTTGCGCTGCTGTACGGAAGCATCCCGATCTATTTCAAACCTCGGGGAATCCCCGCACCGGACGGACGTAAAGAGAGGCCGACAGAGCGAAATGGAGCAAAGTTTTTGTGGCTCGGCTTAGACGAATGCCGAATTAAGACTCCATCAGGAAAGCTTTACCCGCGACCGAACAGGAGAGGATGAAAGATGTGCGCTGTCCGCGCGTCGTCGACGCTGTATTTGACTTACCTAATACCTGGAATTGATCAACGTGAAAGCGATACTTCAGCTGTTGACTCTTACCCGATCCGACGCGGCCTTGCCAAGGACTTCTGACTGCGAAGACTATTAGCGGTCACCGGTCGAACGCGGTGCCAGCAGGTATCGTGAATGCGCACTCGTCGCTGAAGAAATTTCCGTTGCCGTCCGTGACCGGTTCGTTTTGGGTCAGATGAGTTCCGACGTGTCTCTCGATGACGCCGCCGATGCCCGATGCCATCCCGCGACGAGCGACCGTGTGAGACCTCCATTAACATTTCTTTGGTATAATCCTTTCCGCACAAAGCATCGCACATGGGTTCCTCGAACTCCGAATTCTCGAATAACACGACGACTTCGTCGAGGACGCGCCTGCCGTAATCTGATTGTTCACTCGCTCGGAGCTGTTTCCGAGAACGGGCCCGAGAACACTGGTTTGACTGAAGCGGATTTCTCTCAATTCCACGACGCGAATCGGGCTTGCCTCGAATGTTTTGCTAAAATCAGAGCTCCCTAGGAAAAATCCATTGTCAAAAAATTCTAGTTTCCGCACAGAGTCGTGAGCGAGATATCATAGGCCTTCCGTAGAGCACAATTGTGAGTCGGTACCGTTGAATACTTCTCTAAAATCTTTGTAGAAACAGGCAGGATGACGGTCGTTGAGTAGATATATATAATGATGATATATATAATAAATAGAAACATCCATTGTCAAAAAATTCTAGTTTCCGCACAGAGTCGTGAGCGAGATATTATAGGCCTTCCGTAGAGCACAATTGTGAGTCGGTACCGTTCAATACTTCTCTGAAATCTTTCTAGAAACAGGCAGGATGACGGTCGTTGAGTAGATAAGCGACGTCAAACATCGTGAGTCGGTCGGGATGTCGGGATAAAGCGAATATCACGAATCGTTTGCATGGTGTTCTTTGATCCGCAATCGATGGGCGCGGGGGGAATCGCGAAGAAGCGGCTTGTTGTGCGGGAGTTTGAGAATTGTCCGTGCGACTATTCTCCACGATCATGCCCCCCGCACGGACAACCTTCCGAGTGACAGGGTGCTCTGACGAACGAGTCGTCTAAGAACACTGGCGCATGAGGGAAAATTGAGGGAGCGCCTCGGAGGCCGTCCTCGATTATTCCGAGAGCCCTGGACCAGAGTGGTGGAGACTGGGATGGGTCGAGCCCCCTCTCTTGCGTCGGGAAATGGGGAACATTCAGACCATCGTGTCCCGTTTTCTCGACGTCGGTGTCATGGGGAAACAAATGGGAAGCAATACCCGAATCTGTGATGCATTTTGTCGATGAAACACCCCGAGGTTACTGCCAGAGGAGGAGTGCGTTCGGCCTTTGGGTGACCCAGAGTCGCTCTCAGACAGTCGGCCGGACCACCGAGATAACCTCTGATTGAGTTCTCGAGTTTTCTCCCATGTCGTAAACCTTAAATAGGGATGTCTACAGGATCATTTTTGTTGCAACACGCTCTGAGCACCCCGTAAATGAACCGCATGCTGAATTCGGCGGAAAACCTCGGCGGATGAACTCAAAATGGCTGGCTAGTGGATCTTCGAGAGCCTCGAATCTCTTATGAGTCCATTGTGGTCAAGCCTCGCTGAGGGCATACTCGAGTCCGATGAACCTTTTTGCTCCGTCCAGAACTTTGCGGCGCGACTGCGCAAAAGAAAACACCGCGTCGGAAAACGGTCGTTGTACTGTCCGGGAAACCCTTTCTCGCATTCGACAGCCGCCTGAGCACACACGGGAACCTTTTAAAGATACTTTCGGGCTAGTGCAGCAGAAAACCCATTCCGGCAGGCAAACAGTTGAGCCTCGAAGATATTGTATTTACTTCTCAAGAAGTTTTGGCCAATCCAGGGCTCTCCTCTCATCGATTCGAGGCTCAAGCTTGAAATAACTTTTGGGGGAGTGGATTGATCGAGCAGCTAGTGGGTGACCGTCCTTTCCTCTCCATCAACCTCTCTGCCGAAACATTCCTCCTCGGTACGTTCAAGCACGGGAACCAAACAGATGAGCCAATAAGGCCATTTCAGCGAATGAATGCCCAGCCCCCTCTGCTCCCCTCATGTGCGACCGTTGGCAAGACCTGAATTATAGATATATCGAAACCGCCTGTCCTTCAGGAATCTTCGCGCGAACCCCACTCGAAGCTCCGCGCTACTCTTATCGAGTTTTTCGAAGTATTCCGGCGGTCGGATCGCGCCCGTAGAACTCGTGCACACTCATATTCTCTGGAAGTATTCTCGACGCTGGCCCGCATGGAATGAATTTGGATCGGATGGGCGGCTCCCCGCAACTCGATGCGATTGGTTATAGGGAAAAATAAATTCGATCTGAGCTGGTGGACTTGAGACAGGTTGTCGTGGCTTGGTTGAGCCTGACTTTGAGCATCGCCACTCATTAATGCGTTGCACTGCCTAGTATCTGTGGAAGACTCGAGGAAGCCAGCCGAGGCGCCACGCGCCGGAATGCATGCTAATGTCGTTTTCTTATTCACAGCATCTGCCTTCGCTAGAAGCCGGAATGGATGAAGGCGAGGCCGCACTTCGTCTGAAGTGCAAAGCACTCAAAAATGAGTACGACACGCTGCACAAGTGCTATGCAGATCTCGTTGTGGTGAGTTCTCATTGTGTAACTGAAGTTCATTGCTAGGTACACGGCTGACATCAGGCATCGACCGAGAGGGGCTCAGCCGGATGCCTCGGCGAAGCACAATTCTTAGCTTTGGCTTTTTTCCCGCGGCTCGCGCCGAATCCCTCCGCTCGCCGAGCAATCATGGGAAATAACCTCTCGGCGCTGGGATAGAACCCTCTAGCCCGGGGTGTGAATATTCTCCTGGAGCGTATGGGCTTGTTAGACATGACAGGGCATGCCAAAAAAAACGGTACGCTGAGAACGAATTGCAAATAGGATCTTGCGGCCGTTGATTGTTGCCGCTAAAGGGTCTCCTCGCAGGGATGTGCTGGCAGCTGTTGATGAAAGGAGCTGTCACCGGTCAATGGATCCGCGCGAGAGGTCGAAAACCTGGCAAGCCCGCCGCTTCCGCGGGTCGGAATTCGGAATCCGGTCGTTTGCTCACAGACAAGGGATGGAGTTCTCATGCATTCCGGGCATTCCTGCAGTAAAGGCGATTTGACTCTTGCGAGCCAGCAGTAGCGGAGGGAAGCAGGAAACTTAGCAGAGGAAACGGGTCGAAGGCCTTAAGTTGTATAGGAGTCTCCTCGAGGCTGCCGTTTCGGAATTCTGTCACTCGAGAGCTGAAGTGCGTCGTCAGGACGAATGTTTGCTGGAAGGTCCGAGTCATTCGGGGGACCGGAGCGGACTCGACTTCTCTGTTTACGCTCCGACATCTTCCGCGCGGTTCGAGCGGGACGCTCAGAGGACCTCCCCGCCTCCCGCTACCGAGGGGGTGAACTCTACGGCTGCACGCAGATACGACCGTTTTCTCGGACGGGCGTATCTGCGCCCATCGGCGGTTCCAGCACGGGTTTCAGATGGATTCCTTGAGTGGATCTCTCTGATAGACTCGAATTACTGACAGCCCGGAATGATCACAGTGCCGCATACTTCTTTCTGATTGACGTCGTCCCGGCGAATGAGGGAAGAGCCCAAGCAGCTCGACGGGTGGGGAATTCCCGGAGCCCTCAGGTCTCTCGGTAATGCACTGAAGGGCCCGGCTTGACTGGGCCAATCAAAGAAGCTCACCTCAGGGCCGAAGGAGCTTATGCGTTCCGCCACTCGGTCGGAGCAACCGGAGCGTGGGCTCATCACGCAGATTTTCAATTTCGCCGTACGACCACCCTCAGAGGCCGCTTCATTAGCCAATGTACTGATTGCTAACTTCGCTTCTCGCTTTCTCAAGGTTCATTCGAGCCATGTGTCGAAAATGGAGGTCACTCAGGAAGAACTGTCCAGGCTGAAGAAACAATTGGAGGAAGCGAAACACGAACGGGATAACGCGATCAGGGATCGCAACGGCCTGCAACAACAATGCTCCGCCGCTATCTCCCAGTGGTACAACACTCTCAGCGAGAGGAACGAAGCTCGCGAAACGCTGAATAGAGTCCAGCAGCAACGAGACGAAGCCCTAAAGGAAATCAACAACGCTTTGACAATTCGCATCAAAACCAGCAAAGATCTCACAAAACTGACCGAGGAGAGGAATGCCGCCCTCCAGGAATATTCGCTTATTATGGGCGAACGGGATAACGTTCACAAGGAGATGGAGAGGTTCCAGGAGGAACTCGCTCAGAAGAACAGCGAATTGTCAACGAGCGACAACAAGATCAAAAGTTTGCAGGACGAGAACGAGAGCCTCAAAAGGGAAATCGCCTCAGCGTTGCAGGAAAGAGACCGCGCCTTCAAAGAATGTAACCAGCTCCGGGAGTGTTCGCCACTGCAGAAACAGCACGAGCAGGACTCACAGGCCTTCAAGGATCGAATTGAAGCCTTGCAGAAGGAGGTTGCCAAGCTCAAAAACGAATTGACCGAAGCGCAACAGGTAAATTTTTATTATTCTATCATGATCGTTATTCATATTCATCAATGGATGCTCCTCCGTCTGCCTGGATTGAGTTCGAGTGGCTCAATTCCCCGGTTCCGTCCCCATTGATTTCCGCTATTTCGCTCCGATCCTGGTCCTCTGTCCTTGTCACTCGAAACTGCAAGGCACTCAACTTTTCTCACCGGTCGATCCGATTGCAGGAAGCCGAAGTGAGCAAACGAAGACGCGATTGGGCGTTCAGTGAGCGTGACAAGATTGTCCTCGAGAGGGAGAGCATTCGCGCACTTTGTGACCGTCTCCGCAAAGAACGAGATGAACGGGTATCCGACTTGGCGGAAGCTCTCAGGGATTCCGATGACGCAAAGAAACAAGCCAGCAGGGAACTCAACGAATTGCGTCAATTGCAACTGGGCGTAGCTCTGAGCAAAGACTCAGCCATCGATATCATGGAGGAGTTCGAAACCACGACCAAAGTGAAGTTGGTGAGCATTCTGGACGCCGTAGGAAATGATATTTGAAACTTAGGAATCGAGATTTCTAGGGGAATCAGACCGTGACGAGCGATTAGGTAATTAGGCGACTTTCGAATACCTATCAAGGTGGAGAAACACTGATATTCCGAAGATTCTCGGGATCGATAGCCGCGTTCTCAAGGGTCGACGTTCCTTCGCAGAAACTCGACGGCTCGGAGAACGGCGGAGGCTTCGAAACGTGTAAAAGCAACGATACCCTCTGGGTCTCTCGGATCGACGCTGGCAGTCCCGCCGATGGTAAACTATTGCTACAGGATCAGATCGTCAAAATTAACGGAGCAAGCGTATTCCAAATGGGAGCGGCCGTAGCCCAGGAAATGCTGCAGAAAGCCACAGACTTCCTCAGACTGGAGGTGAAGCGGAGAGCGAATTCTCAGCACACGAAACATTCCACGACTAGGAGAGGTTACTTCTTCTGCGAGCTGCAGGTCCCTGAAAAAGAAGCCCATGGCTTGGTTCTCGAGGCCGGAGTGTACATCGCGCAGATCGTCCCGGGAACTCCGGGAGCTCAGATTCTTCTGCCCGGGGACAGAATTCTCAGCATCGACGGCCAGGCGGTGGTCGACATGCAACACGCACTCGAGAAACTCGACAAGCCCGGACGCTTCCAGTTGCAGGTGAGCAGGTTCGGCCTTTCGGCCAAAGACGACGCCATGAAGGAGAGAACGACGCTCAAGAAATTCAACTCGGCCAGCGTCCAGACCGACGAAAAGGTCGCGAAATCCCTGGTGTCGCCCACTGAAAAGAAATCCTCGAACACGCTACTCGACCGGGCGAAGAATAAAATATTCGGCGAGAAGAAAGCCCGGCCTCTCTCGACAATCCAGACGAGCAACGATACCAAGGACGCTATTTTCGAATTGGATTCGGTAATAGATCGTTTCTCGAATGAGAGAAAGTCAACCAAAAGCCACAAGGGATCAAGCAGCAGCAAGGAGAATCAGAACCACGCGAACAGTGGAGGAACCTGGCCCAAGTACAGAGGCGCCCTGACCGAGGCTCAGAGCGGCAGCGGGAACGGCGGCAATAGCGGCAACGGAGGCGACAAGCAGCTCAACATCAACACGTTGCAGCCGACCCACCGTCAGAAGGAGCGCAAATCCATTCCAAAGCAGTTTTACCATTCGAGCTCAGACTCCAGCCCGGGAAGCTCTCCCGTGAAAATCGAAGCTTACGTTCCTCCGTCGTCATCGGATATCTTGAACTTCAGCAGCTTGGTGCAGACGGCACCGAGTTCGCGCAATCATTCTCAGGAAGGATACTATAGCATGACTACACCGAGACCGCATTCGAAGCCCCTATCCGTCAACGGATCCTCCGGTCTTATCACTGCTCAAGTGAGTCGCTGGGTTCGGTTTTCGTTTTTCTGCTATCCGAAGAGTGAGTATCCGTACGATTTCCATGATGAATAACCTCATCGATAATTAATTTCCAGACGTCGTCTATGCAAGCGTCAGCGCGTCCGCGCTCTGCCCACTACACGGCTTCTCAAATGGATTACTTCCAACACTCGTCAGTCAATTCAGCGAAGGAGTCCCCCTTCGAGATGATTTTACAGCCCCCCCTCTCTGCTCACACTTCGCATACACAGGGTCCGCCTATTCCACCCATTCCCCACAATCACAGCCAAATATATCCGAATTACTACACGACCGGCAGTAGTCACAGCTCGCGGCATCCAATGACGCATATTGGGCCGCCCTGTTGTCCTCCATATATGTCTCGTAGCGGAGATTCTTTCCTGAGCTCTGCCGGAGAGCCGTCGTCGGCGAATAGTTTCGGCAATGTCCCCACTGGATACGGCATCAAGGACAGCAGCAGCTACTCCGGTGAGTTCCGGGACAGGTCCTCCGCGACTCATCGCTCTCCGCGACGACATTCGCCGGCTCTTATCCGGGCCGCATGGGCTTTATCGACCGTAAGAATCTACGGCAAGCGACTGACATTCGACCTATTCGTCCGTAGGCAACAGCTACACTCCGTCGCCTTGCCCATCCACTCTGGCGCCCTACTCGAGTTACAGTCCGACCTACGGCATGGAGTTTGCCCACTTCCTTCCTGCCGCATATCCCAGCCATGCTGAAACTACCGCGCACGGAGCAGCTCTCAGCAGTCATCATAGCACGATGTCCCATCATCAAACTGTGGACGGGGTGTCCATTGTCGGCCTGGCCACGTTCCCCAAACGACAACAACGCATCAGAATCCCTTCAACACCGAGTGTGAGCTCGTCTGTGGGACGGGTATCGAACGGCAGCATAGACAGACCCGCTTCGCCAATCCAACCCGCGTTGACCGTCGAGTTGATTAACTCGTCGGGTGGCGACATCGAGCTCAATCCGCAAAAACGAAAGCCCAAAGCAGGCGATACGAGACGGTGAGTTAATCGAGGAGAAGCCATGGGAATGAGGCGGAAAGGGGCGGGAATTACAGTTTTCCCATCGAGACGTGGACGACTCGGATCGATAGCCGTCTAAGCTGAAAATCTTCTCGCAGGATCACCATCGACAAGAGCAGGGAGCCATTGGGGATCCAGATCAAAGGAGAGACCGGTCAAAGCATATTCGTTTCTTCGGTAACGGAAAACTCCCTAGCTGAGGAGGCAGGCCTCCAGATCGGTGATCAACTGCTCGAAGTTTGCGGAATCAACATGCGTAACGCGACGTACCAACTCGCCGCGAACATACTGAGACAGTGTCGAGACAGCATGATATTGCTAGTGCAGTACAACCCGGAAAAGTATCGTGAGGGTGGCAGCTCGAGTGAAAGTCCGCCAGATACACCGCATGCCTCGCCCAAAACGTATCGTAGTAAGCGTCGTAGTCCCGCGACTTCGGCCGAAGCCCGCAGCCGTTCCAACGACGACCTCTCGAGCGGGACCTCAACGCTGACGCGTAGTCAAAAAGGTGCCTACCTGGCGGCTACGTTACAGGCGAAAAAGAAAACGGCCGAACCACGCGTTGTAATCCTCAACAAGCCACGAAGCAGTTCGAACCTCGGTATAACGCTTTTGGGTGGGAACGCTGTTGGTATATTTGTGCATTCAATCGAGCCAGATTCGCCCGCTTTTCTGGGACTGCGGTCAGGTGATCAGATTCTCGAGTACAATGGAATCGATCTACGGAACTTCACCGCTGAAGACGCCGCCTCGGAGTTGGCGAAACCGACTGGCGAAAACGCGAAGCTGAAAATGCTCGTTCAGGAGAATTTAGAGAGGTACATGGAGATTCAGGAGTATGGAAATGGCGACGCGTTCTACGTCCGCGCTCTCTTTGACCGACCCGCTACCGACGGATCGCTCCCCATCAAGAAGGATGAGGTTTTCTTCGTCGATAATACCATGTACAAAGGTGAGCCCTTCTCGCGTAGTATTTTTCTTTTTTTTTCTCATTTCTGCGTTGGCCTCATTCCCCAGAGGCTGCCCATACGTTCGACTTCAACGGCCGAGGAAACCTCCACGTTGAAAGACTCTTGTCGGCTGAGCCCACATCGCGAGAAATACTCGATTCGGGACTATATACTGAAGTCGTCGGCTCTCTCCATTCCAGGAGTGAACGGTCTGTGGCGAGCATGGCTAGTGGACCATGATGGCAGGAAGACCGAATGCGGTTTCATACCTTCGAAGTACAAGGCAGAAGAGGAGCTATTGCTGAAACGCTCTCTACTCGACATCGACGACGGAGGTCGACGTGGTTCAGCTCGGCGCAGTTTCTTCCGCAGGCGATCGAAGAACGCAGGCACACGAGAGATCGCCGCCTACTCTGATGCATCAATTAACTCTTCAAGTTACTCCGATTCGGCTTCAATGCTCGCCGATGACACTCTGCTCCCACCAGCAACCTATATCAGGGTGGAAAAGCTTTGCTGTGAGTACCTAGCTAATTCAATTTGGGAACCGAGACGCACCTCGGTCGCAGCGTAATTCGTCGAGAGTGAGAACGGGGACAGAGATTGGCGCCCTACATGAGTTTTCCTCACTGACGTTTCCAGACACAAGTTTTCGCCCAGTTATCCTGATCGGACCTCTGAATGACGCGGTAATGGACAAGCTAGAACAAGACTATCCAGACATGTTCCAGCGGTGCCTTGGGGAGGCCATGAAAGGAACAATTCAGATGATGCAGAAAGGAGTCAATGAGCACAAAATTTTGGATTTCCATACGAAAGGCTCTCATTTCGAGTGCACTACCATCAGTGCCATTAGGGCCATTTGTGAAAAGGTACGTCACGGTCATCGACCAGCGACATCGCGAAGCTTCCTCTCTCCAATCCTGACCCTTTTCGGACAATGAATCTATCGTATGAGTATTAGTGAGGAAGCTCAACTTACTGACATCGACGATATTCTTCCGTTTCAGAGTCACGCATTTTTAGACGTTAGCTTGAGTTTGGATGTGATCTTGGAGCGCTTGCGTAATTGCCAAATATATCCGATTGTGATCTTTATCAAGTTCAAGACGTTGAAACAGATTCGCGAGGTCAAGTACCTAAGCGAAAAGATGACGAGCAAAGCAGCGAAGGAGATGTACGAACACTCGCTTAAGATCGAAGCTGAATACAAACCTCTTATCAACGGTGAGCTGGATCCGTAATCAATTATTATTGTCATAAATATCATTGATCAAGAGCAATCATTATCGGGGATTCTAATCACCAACGTATCCATGTTCTTCGTGCGTCTCTGACCGGGCTTCCCCTTTCCAGCTATGATACAGGGGAACAACTTGACATACATGTGTACACAGGTCAAGACGTGCGTCGAGGAGCAACAGAACAAAACTGTCTGGATTCCCTCGGTACAATACTGAGCAACTATGAGCGCGCAGCCGCGACGCCCAGGATATCGGACATCCTGGCGATGCGGATTCCTTGCGTCTCAATGAGAATTCTAAGACGAGGTTGGAGATTCTCGCACGACTCCGTCGCAGCTCATGTGGCCGCGGCAGGCTAGCGCGTTGAACGAGGGAAATATGCACCCTCAAATAGAATCAGACGCTGACGCTCAGGCAATTATCAAGGTGGGGACGATCCAGGAGTTGACCGACGATAAGCCTTCGCGGTGGCCGATCGTCGATTATATAATGTCTTCCCCAAGACCTCAGGATTGTTTTTGGATTGTTTTTTGGAAACGAGATGAGCTGTCTGAGATAATATCTGGAATTGTTGCTACAGCCATATTAGCCCTATCCGCTCAAGAAGGTGCAAGAAACAAGACAGGAGAGTCGGGACGTCGCAAATAAGCAAACTTGTTCACTCAGGACTAGGAAGTCGATCGATAACGCGCAGCTGTAGCGCGATAATCGACGGACATAACTTAAACGCGCATTCTCATGCAATAGATCGATTCCGAATGTTGCGATCAAGCTTCAATGTACAGATGACTGCCGCGGTTTCGACGTTTCTTTTAAAAATATCTCACCAAGTTCGAATAACTGAAACTCTCTGTCTGGTTACGGAGGAGGACGCCAAACAAGGAAATGATGATTCCCTCGAATCGATCATGGAAATGGCCAATTTGCTTCCTACTGATGACGTTCGTCTCGAAGACGGCGGGGACATCGGTAGCTTTGTATTGTGATCAAGTCGTTCTGTAAGTGCGTCCGCTGAGTTGTTTTTATCGAATACTTCCAATGGCTCATGGGTGGGACTCTTCTTCTTCCTACTGTGTTATAGAGTCCCCGCAGGACGATCTCTCAGGCCTGTGAGTGTTGAAAGGAATCTGTTCGTAGATCCGTCACTTGATGTTAATCGTGGTGGAAACGCAGATAGTTCTTCTCCCCTCTACTGGAAATCTGTTCCATTGTCTCTGAATAAACTTTGAAATGTATCGCTACTGTCGCACGTATCCAATGAGCTAGCTGCTAGCGTACTTCTGAATGAATATGGATGTTCCTCACTGCTGTTGTGTTTATGCTCAATGATTCTCCGCTTGTGCTAGTTCAAGGAAATCAGGATGCGAAGTTCCAGGTCAACATATCGCATGTGAGTCGCTCGATGGCGAGGGTATAGTTGAAACCCACCCCAATAAACTTTGACACATCGAATGCACGTACCGATCCCGGCCTTTTCTCTCTGACTCTCCTGAGCCCTGAGATCCCCTCCGACGTCTCAAGACTCAAGACCCACTGGAGATTGTTCGCGGAAAATTCCCAGAATGGCGCACCATCGCGAGCATCAGCGGAAATAGATTGCGGCCCGCGAGAAACCTTCTGCTCTGGCGATGATATGTCCCACGAAGGATTGCTTCCTCGGCGTTCATCGGTGATGTCGTGGCTTCATCATTCTAGAGCATGCTGCGTAATCAGTCACGGAATTAAATCTCGAGCCCCGAAAACATTCTGATGGAAGGATCCCTTCGATGAATTCTCAGAAAGCTTCGATTTGCAACAAAGCAAAACTCGACGAAAGCCAACGATTGGGCGGGCTAGCCAGCGAGCTAACGAATCGACCAACCCCTGAAGCCCCTCACGACTTCGTGATCTCGTCATTTAGCTTTGAATCTGTGGTGCCTCTCTTCACCTGGTTGCGACCCGGAGCTGGATCCAGCGCAGCGCCTGCTTGTGCATTAAACATCATTCGTCCATTGGTCCGGTACACTGATAGCCCTCATGATCCAAATGCGGCTTGACGTGACTGTGTCTTTTCCGAAAGAATGCCCGGATAGCCCGTCGCATTACAATGATGAGGTGGGACGTTTATCCGCGAGGCATACACGGAGTCAGGTCGCTTCGTCACAGCCGACACATGCATGCATATTCTTCATGAGCAAATAACGAGAGGAAATAGCGCCGCCGATCGGGGCATTGTAACATCGATCGTATTCCCCAAACGAGTCAACGGCGGGCGCGGATCACCTCTGAGAAAGACCTCCGTCAATTTATTGACTCGAGAGCAATTTGTAAGAATGAATCTCTCATGTCGAAGAATACGGGACCACCTTGGTTTGATTCCTCACGCCCCGAAGCCACATACCGACCTCGTACACGACCACTTTCGCGTACATACTTCCATTCAAGGTGCGGCTCTCGGAGCTATTCATAACTCGAACGAATCTCTTCCTGGTACTCAGGTTCTGACACACGTTATCCCGATTTTCCGTGGACGGTGACGGCGGCCGCCGCGCCGCCTCTCGCTTCAAGCTCCAATACTTCGATGCGGGACGACATTTTGCTGCGCTAGAGAAATCCCTCTCGCTCGAACCCTCGAATATCGCTTTCGGCAGACGTAAGTGGACGCAGGATACTCAGCGGGCACAGATGATGCCCAGCTGTACTTTCTTCTCCCGATTCCTTTTCGGACCCCTCTCTAAGCGGGTGTTCGTTCTCCATCCGATCACAGTCATCTGTGCACTAACGGAGGGTCTCTCCACGGAGCTGAAATGACTCTCGGCAGATCGAGACCCGAGCCTCGAACATCAAATGGGAGAACACGGGAAAGTCACACAGACGGAGCGAATGTGTCTGGAACAAGTTTTCTCCGAACGTCCGGAAGTCAACAGATGTCTGTCTGTTCGACCGTCTGGGAGAGGCCCAGCTCTGTAGAAGATCCAAACACTCCTTCCTTTGATCCGTCCAAGTAAGCCAGAAACCAGCGAACCGACGACAGAACCTGGCACTGGAGGTTAGCGGCCTTCTGCTGCATTCGCTACCGCTGTCCGCGGCCGACAGAAACACCGCGCACAGATTCCCCGCTTCTATGGTCCCCGGCTCGTTCTTCTCTGCCTCGTTCTCAACGCTCGGGGAAATCTAAGATCGCGGGTATTTCGACTCGAGCCGGGAAATCAGGACTGCCGGCAATTGTGCTGAATTTTTCGCACCCTCACAGCATCGATCGCATCTGATTTGATCGTTTCACCATTTCCGATTAGACAGATTTACTGTCAAATTGTAGAATTGTCGAATTGTCCTGGTGATCTCAGCCCGGGGGAATCGGACGCATCGGATCGGTTCCCTATTGGGAATTCCAGGTCCCAATCTCAGAGCCTAGCGCTCGTGGGGAGTCGCTCTGAGTGAGACCTCGGTCAAATCACAATTACTTTCTCGAACCCATGCCCGTACTAGAAACTAGGGACAAAAATGTATGAGAATAGTTCATCTTCGATGAGAAGCTGACGGAAGAGACTGTTCTTGACCCCTTTCTTCTATTGGAAATTCCCTCGAAAGCTCTCGGCGTTCTTTCTGAACTGCGTCAGACCTGCCTGTGGGCGTTTCCGACCTATCTAATCTCATTGCGGTCGCGCGGTTCCACGGCTCTGAGTGCGCGAGCATTCAACAAAACATTTTCCTCGATCCGAGTCGCAAGCATGCAGAGATACCGAAGATAAGACAAGAAGCCGCGCACAGAGCTCTTGCTCGCTCCTAGCTCTACCCTCTCGTTACTACGACGACGACGGTGTATCGATAGATTTAAATTCTCGGGCCCTCTTCTGCCTTCCTGTCTTCTGACGCTTGAATTGCCGCAGTGTTTCTGGGTGCCGGAGCGACCGGGGCAACGTTCTTCTGTCGGCTCTTCAGTCAGTCGCTCCGTCGCTCGAATGGCCAGGCCATCTACCTCGTTCAGAATATCGTCAGGCGAACGAAATCACGAGGGCATCGACACATAGATACACTGACTGACTGGCTGTGTAGCTTTTCGTCTTTCCCTTTTTCTCCTTTTCCGCTGCAGCAGCGACCACTACGCTGCAGTGAAAGCCCCCCGAGGGCTGGGTCGAGGAATGTTCTGAAATGATACAGGGACCCAAGACCCTGCTATCAGAGAAGCCGACTCGTTCGTAACGATTTTTCGGCGAACCCGGAGTCCAATCATCATCTCGTGAGACTTCCTTTTCTCAAGAGACCTCGACTGTGGACGGAATGGCGCATCCTGAAGTAGATTTCCACCGACTCGATATCTTTCCATTGAAGAACTCTCAGCATAGCCCAAACTACTCGAATGCGTTCTCAAACTGGTGGGGAAGACATCCATCTGCGAGCAGGGATCCGATTCCAAGGGATGTCAGCCACGCCTGAGTGAGAGCTACAACTCATGCCTTCACATCATCGCTTCAAAGAGGAAAGCGTTTTTGACGAGCGCCTCAATATGCCCCAAGGCCGTAGCATCGAAAGTAGTTTTCGACGGGACTGATTACGATCATGGCAAACTTTTAAGATGATTTATGGACTGTTAAAACTCGTGAGCGTCCCGAGGATAGTTCCACCATGTTCCCCTTCATAACAGGCGCAATGAATTGGGAGCATCACATTCAAGTTCGGCGACAGAACTTGTCGATCACGACCGAGTAGAGCGTCTCCGAGGATCTGGGGACAGGGCGCCGTCTGAATCTGGGGAGTTCCTGCGCAGGAGAAGAATGGAAACTTCGAGCCGCGTTCTTTCAACCCTGGACGTCGGCGACAGAAGTCGAAATGTTTATCGAGCTCCTCTTGAGCTAACTAAGTGGCTGAGTGATTCTTCGCTCAGACTCTTCAGCCAGAATCTCGACTTCCACCACTCAAGCTCCTCTCGGCTGGAATCCATCAACTCGCCGTGCCGAGACCGTAATTGCGCCGGAACGGAATCGGAAGCCACGGCAAGTGTTGTTGATCGTTAGGGCTCCGCATGCGGATTCTCGTCGACTGATCTATCGATCATAAAGAAGAATTGCGGCTTCGCTCGAACCGGAGGGTTAATAGAAATACGTTCCCACTACACGGCATTCACAGAAACAGCGATGCATTCTGCTCGGTTGCCGTCATCTCGTTTACCATCCATTATGTAGTCGTCCTCGTTGTTGTATACCAGCAACCAGCACCATCTCTCTCAGCCAGGCTGACTGAGATGGTCAGAGAAACGTCTTAGAACGACTCTCCGGGGATTCGATCTCGCCCTCCGGCTGGTGTGCTTCTTTTCCCCTCTTGATTCGGCTGATAGTAAAAACAGCAGATGATCGATGAGAACGAAAGGCAGAGCGAATTTGTTGCCAACTCTCGACAATGAAGTTTTTATGGAAATATCCACCTCGCCACTGCATAGAACCGCGGGCTAGCTTCATGTAAGCTGCTGAGCGGCAATAGAAGGGGCAGTCGGAGCGGCAATAACTACAGCTCTGGAACTGCACAAGGCGTGGTACAATTGAGGCGGAGGACCCGCCGACATCACCACGTCGGCATCAAAGCTGAAGACCGCATAATAGGTTCGGGAGACTACCCAATTTGTCGATTGAGATTTCAACTCTTCAGAATGATGATGCGTCTCGGGAGAGCAAGAGGAAAGATTCTCGTTTCACTTCATTTTCCGGAGCTCTTCTCCGAAAACGATTCAAGACCCCTTGCCCAAACAGCGTAGACGAGCACGCGATAGCGGCGCTCGTGGCGCAGCGTCCTCGCCCATGCTCAGCGAATAGATCAACCCGCTCATTGTCGGTGGTTTCCTCCTTCGGACGACGGACATAAACAAACATC